TTGTTCTTTTTCTTTGCCCTACATGCTCTCTGCCACCCCTCCATCTCCTCATTATGCTCCAGACCCACATAATTCATCTCCCTATCCACTCCTTCACTTCCTACATTATCCCTCTGCATTACTTGAACCTCTCCACCATTCCTCCTCTCACAGGTTTCCTGCTCATCTTTTCGAGTGTCCTTCTGCCCCTCCACTATAACATCCACCTCAACTTCCTCATCCTGTCTACCTACAGGTCTGGTACTGTCACCCCTCCCCTGGTACTCCCCTGGGCACTCCGTTTCATCAGCAGTTGCTGGAACAGAACAATCATCTCATTCACCTTTTCTTCCAGTTTTCCTACTTTTTCGTTGAGGTCATCATGCTGCTTGTTAGTCTGAGCCACACTTGGGTGACGGACAGTTGCAGCATATGACCTCAGGACAGGGAGGTCATGCTCTTTCTCATACTACCTTCTAGCCTGAGGGTATGGGAGTTCTTATTCAGCTTTAATCCTACATATATCCTTTTCTTTTTTCCATATTTCACACTCCCTGGCCATACATGAGTGTCCTGACTGCAGTTCAAACACCAGCGTTCACATTCCCTGTGCGTGTACCGAGCATAGCGCGCGAGTAGTAGTATCTAGACCGATCGGTAGATGACAGAGCGTCTCGCGTTGTACAGAAATACAGTCTAGTTCCGACCGGAGGGACCGTCGGGCGGCCGACCTTCGACGACGGAGAAGGCGGAGACGGGCCGGCCCGCCCGTCCTCAGCGGACCATACTGCCCGATCGGTGCCCCCCTGTACAGTCCCCGTGCAGCACGCAGCGCCCCCAAGCGCCTCAGAGCTGCCTCACGATCACATCTCTTCCGACGTGACCGAGAATGCAGCGCCACTTCACGAGTTTTCCGACGGGTTGGACGGCAAAGTGCAAACCATGCCAGGAAAAGAATACCAAATCCATCTGCGAGAAGACGCCACGCCCTTCGCCGTGCGCCCGCCATGCAGGGTGCCGATAGCTCTGAGAGAGCCCCTGCACCACGAGCTCGAAAAACTCGAGCGTGACGGCATCATCGAGCCCGTCATGGAGCCAACTGAGTGGTGCGCGCTCATCGTGGTGGCCCCTAAGAAGGACGGCATGGATATTCGACTGTGTGTAAACCATTCAAAGCTGAATAGGTCCCTGAGGCGGGAGCTGTATCAATCTAACACGCCCACTGAGTGTGTCGCATCCATTACAGCGTCGGACGCTAAATGATTTAGCGTGTTCGACGCCACCAAAGGATACCACTAGTGTCTACTAGACGAAGACGGCCGAAACCTGACGACGTTCATTACACCATTTGGGAACTACCGCTATCTGCGCGCTCCCTATGGCGTCTCGTCAATTAGCGAGCGTTACAATCGGCGCATGGACGAGTGCTTCGGGTACGTGGACGGCATCCATCGTATCGTGGACGACGTCATAATCTTCAGCAAGACGCAAGAAGAACACGTCGCCCGAGTGCAGAAGTTTTTGACGAGGTGCGGTGCCCGCGGGACCTCCCTGAACCCCTCCAAGACGCAGCACATGAAGACCAGCGTCAAATTCGCCGGCTTCATCGTGTCCCAAGACGGCTACGTGCCCGACCCGGCCCTGACGAACGCCACAGCGGCGTTCCCGGCACCGAAATCGCTCACTGACCTCCGGAGCTTTTTCGGCCTCGTCAACCAAGTGGCGCCATTCAACGAGGGGACCGCTAAGCTGCTGGAACCGCTGCGTCACCTACTGAGCGCTAAGAGAACCTTCATCTGGGACACCTGTTACGAGGTAGCGTTCCAGGCGGCGAGAGAGGCGCTGTCGTCCGCCCGCACTCTAGCGTACTTGGACCCGACAAGGCCGACGAGGCCGTCTACGGACACCACGCGTCTCCAGGGGCTCGGTTTTCTGCTGCAACAAAAACGGCCGGACGGTGTCTGGAAAGTAGTGCAGGCCGGGTCGCGCTTCCTGCCGGCAGTCGCCTGGACGGTGAAAAAGTGCCGACTTTTCGTCTCTGGCCTTCCACACCTGGACCTCGTCGTTGATCACCGCCATCTCGTGCCCATCATCAACAACAAAAACCTCGACGAAATCAAGAACCCGCGACTGCAAAGACTGCGCGAAAAAATATCCGACGTCAGCATGACTGTGTCGTGGTGTCGAGGCAAGAGCCACCTGGCGGCCGACGCGCTCAGCAAGTTCCCAGTCGGCCCGCCCACCGATGACGACGAGCTGGCGGAAGACGACGCCGCTCCTACCGTCGCCACCGTCGCTGCGCGGGCGATCGACGCGTCGCACCTCGACCTCCGACTACAGGACGTACTGGAGGCGGCAAATGGCGACGAGGAAGCCCAGCTCCTACCCGAGGTAGTCACGAACGGCTTCCCTCATAAAAAAGCCGCCCTCCCGTACCAAATTCGTCCCTACTGGTCAGTGCACGACAAACTGACAGTTGAAGACGGTCTGGTGCTTCACGGGTGCCGCCTCGTGATCCCTCGGCCAATGCGACCCACCGTGCTCCGGGAGCTCCACGCCGGACACATGGACAGAGAGAGGACAAAAAGTCCGGCCCGCCAGCTAGTATTTTGACCTGGGATGTCCAAGGACATCGACAACATAATCGAGGCATATCAGCAATGCCAACGAGAGCCGCCGGCCCAACAAAGAGAAACGATCCGGCATCACGAGCCAGCCAGCCGGCCGTTCCAGCACCTTTGCGCAGACTTCTGCGAATATGCCGGGCGCCACTTCCTGGTCGCGGTCGACCCATTCTCTGGCTGGCTGATTGTTAGCCCGCTCGGCCGCCACGCCACCGCCGCCGACCTCATCAAAGAGTTGCGTGCCATCTTTTGCACGGCTGAGGTGCTGGAGGTCTTGTGGTCGGACGGTGGTCCTCAATTCACGTCAAAGGCGTTCAAAGCATTTCTCTCCAAATGGGCAGTGACCCGTAAGATGTCTTCGCCACACTACCCGCAGCCAAATGGCCGCGCCGAATCAGCGGTAAAATACGCAGCCAAACTCATCCGCCGGTGCTGGCGACAACATCATGTGGACGACGACGCCTGGGTGCAAGGCATGTTGCCGAACACCGCGACACACCCGGCCCGGTCGGCCGATCACCGGCTCAGATCCTCTTCCACGCCCCCATGCGGGACATGGTGCCGGCTCACCGGCGGGCGTTCGCGCCGCGCTGGCAGCAAGCTGATGACGCCAAGCGCGCCGCGGCTGCGGCCGCGCAACAAAAAGACATCGACGCGCGGCACAACTTCCATGCGCGGGATCTGCCAGTCCTCCGGACGGGGACTCTAGTCGCCCCCCAAAATCCAGCCACTGGCCGCTGGGACCGGTACGGCATCATCGCGGAGATCGGCCCTCACCGCCGCTACCTCATCCGCCTGCCCAGCGGCCGGGTGTTGACGCAGAACCGGCGTCACATCCGCCAGCGGTACGCCCCCAGCCGGCCGGACGCGGCCGAGCTCTCGCAGCTGCCAGCGGCCGCGCCCCCGGCGTCGGCGGCCGCGGCGGGCACACCGCCCCCGCCTGAGCCGGCCCCCGCGGGGGATTCGGGACGTCGGAGTGAGCCGACCCCAGGTCCAACCCCGGCCGGGGAGGCGCCGCCCGACATCTTCCCGGCGCCGCCGCGACGGTCTGCACGGGCTACCCAGCGTCGCGAACGTCTAATTGAGACCATTTGAGTGGGTGGCCAGGCACGCCGTGTGCGGTAATTTAGTATTTTCTATAGATTTAGTAGTCGACCCCGTGTTTTCGCACTGTAGCCTCCGCGCTCCGCCGCCGTCTTCCTACCGGTCCGCGATCGCGTATCCCGCCATACTAGTCGTGTTCAATCCTCTAGTGTACAGTCTTATCCCTCGCGTATAAAAAATTGTGTCCGTCATTCGATCGCGTCCCGCGGGCTGAATGGCTGGTGGTGGGGGGGGGGGGGGGGGGGGGGCGTGTACCGAGTATAGCGCGCGAGTAGCAGTATCTAGACCGAACGGTAGATGCCAGAGCGTCTCGCGGGGTACAGAAATACTGTCTAGTTCCGACCGCTGACTCGTGTGCACCTTCGCGGAGACGAACTCGAACATTCCCCATCATGTTTTCCTTTCCAACAACGAAGACAGAGGATCACTGGGGCATCTTGTTTCAGTGTGGCCAGATCTGCCACTTCCAAAGCACATATCAAAGGGTTGGGGATATATTGGTGGAGATGGTACGTGATGTAATCCAGTTTCAGTTAGGCTGGGCATGAGGAACTGTCAAATCTCAAAAGTGTGGCTGGGGTATTCCCCACCTTTCCATTCACCCTCTTCATGAATTTCCGAGCACCCACTACCCCAAATTCACCCAGCCATCCCGCAATCTCAGTCTCGGACAGATCCACAAGGTCATACGCATTGATGGTTCCCCTGGATGTATTCATTCTTTGTTCACGAACAACCTCACACTCCTCATCCCCAAGCTTTTTATTTTTCATGAACTTTTCAGTCTGTCCATGATTTTTGGTCTTTAGCAAAAGGCTGCCTGCAGCCAGAAGATTCGCCTTTTCTACCTTCCCAGCGTCTCTCAGAACTCCTCTCACACAACTGGACCCATCTCCAACCTTTGGACCTAAATGATTTTCCTGAGTTGACTAACACGCTATTTACGCCAACTATCGCTGGAAAAACGTCAACAGTGCGCTGGATTTGAGTCATTCTCAAATATTCACGGTGATGTCACCAGTACTGATATTTCATAAAGCCATTTAAGTACTCTTGAGCCTAGAGGAAATTGAAAGACTAGCCGCATCCGTGCAGCAGCATACATGCGGGCAGTGCTGGGTAGATGTGCCGATTCTCGAGCTGTACAAATACGTAAACATTTTATACACATAAAGCACAAATTTTGGTAGAGTTAGCACATCACAAAGTTATGTCTCATATGCGCTATATCTGTATCTCTGAGTTAAGCATATACAAACAGAAGCTTTAAGTACACCCTGAGCAGTACTGCGCGACTCCGTGTTTTATTGGCCACGTCTTTCTCTCAGCGGGGTTCGGGCGTGTCACTTTCATCACTGAAAGTAGAATTGTTATATTAGGATTCTAGTGATATTCTTTGGTTTACTTGTGCGTATTGGCCGCCGCGTATCTATGCTGATCATGTGAAAGATCGGTCGTACTCTTATTTGAGCGTTGCGCTGCTGCTTGGAAAGCATAAAGTTTTTCTTGAGCGTTGCTGTTCTACATTGTAACACATTTTAAAGGTGTCATCTGCACAAGGTGCCAATTTCAGATTGAAAGATCACATTGCCATTCTAAATCAGGCATTGGTACAACTTTCAAGACTTGCCTGAACAAATTATCAGGCTGATGGTGGCCATGCATCAAACATGCATGTTTCTTGTCCTATGGACTGGATCAGTACTTGGTCGCATACATGAGCTTAAGTTAGAGGTAAGTGCTGAATGGCAGGTTGGCCAAGTGGATAGGCAGCTGGTAAACAAGATTAGTATAGTTATTTCCACACTTGATTTGCTGTGCAAACAGTAGGAAATACATCTAGGTAATATTCTATTGTGATGCTAGTAGATCTGGCCATTTGCTGCATTTGGATAGTCCATTTATTTAGGTCATTTAATATACCCCTGCCTTCACAGGCTGCTCTTCCACCAAAACATTCTGCTGTGCTTACATACTCTTGATTGCTCCTGAATGGCATCTTTTGCATTATGCTGTTGATTTGTTGCAGTGATTGTTTGAAAAATTGATGGTGTGAAGTGTTGAGAATTTGGTAATGTTGAGAATTTGGTAATAAGGAGGCCAACAGTACATTATCATCAAAAGTGGGCCTTAGCCCAATTATGAAGCATCTGACCTATGGCAAGTGGTATGCTACTTAAGCTTGCCCATTATTGCTATCCTGATTTATCATACTGAAATATGCACTGTCTTGAAGTTAGAGCTAACTTCATAAACATCAGACAAACACTTTGCATAAATATGGTACTTCAAACAGAGAAGCTATCTACAAATTATCCAACATATTTTTGTCAATGCCCTCTCTGCTTCCACCTGTTCAAGCATTGATTGCACTGAGCCAGACATGTTCCTATTATTTGGACTTTATTAAGTGTAAAGTCTAAGCAAAATGTCTGATACCTGACTATGCTGGATTTGAAAATAATCATATTCATGGTCATGACATAACTCTAATTGTATTGAGCTCCAACCTTTTTGAATGATTTTGGAATGGTATAGAACCACACATCAGCATGACATTGATCTGTTCAAAGTGCCACTCTTCTTCGCTCACATGATATATGAACATATGATTAAAGAATATTGGTTTCACTCATTTATTTAGATTAGCAATATCATCACAATTGATGTGGTAGGTATAATGGAGCTGTTTGCAAACAAGTAAGTTACAGGTTTAGATTCACTAAGAAGGTGGTTTGTATTTGTGCATTTTTTGTTGGTTCATGCCAGTTATCTCAGATTTGCTCAATTCCAAAACACTCAAAGCACCTTTTGCATGACAGGGGCACCAAAACAAAAATTAATGCATTTGTTCTGTTTCCTTTGATAATTGGCAGCTCAACATTATGACTCTCATGATGAATGTAGAAAGAATGTTTCCATGCACAGTCAAGGGTCTTTTTTGCATACTGTGTAAATTTAGTATCCATCAAGCACTATAGGAATGTAGTACACCACAGCTGGTCAAATTGATTTAGCATTACAGGTGTCCATTGAAATATACCCTGACACCAAATTTGCCAGGTATAATTCCAATAAGCAAAAACTCCATATCTTGCAGCAGCTGTTTTGCAGTTTTCATGTAGTTACATGGAAACAATAAAACCATGTGATACTATTTCATCTGTGATCCATGCCAAATTGTGTTCACAGCATGACTCCCGGCGATACTTTCCTCTTAGTACGTTTGGCTTTCTGACTGGCGGAGACCTGATTGTCAACATCACCTCGTTCCAAGTCGATGACAGCAGCCTGTCTGGCGTGGTAAGTAACAGCACTCTATTGCTTTCCTACCCTACATGACACTCATTTTTCATCATTGCACATGTTTGTCACCACCACACTGCACTTCCCAACATGAATCAAAAGAACACCGTGGCCAGGTCGTTGGCACAAACAGACTCGTTGCATAATTGGCATCAGCCGCCGTGCACTCAGCGACGCGTCCGTCGTCGGCTCCGCGTGCCTTGTCCGTCGCTGACTCCGCGTGCCTGGTCCGTCGCCGACTCCGCGCGCGTGCGTCCGTCGCCGACTCTGCATGCGTGCGTCCGTCACCGACTCCACGTGCGTGCGTCCGTTGCCGACTCCACGTGCGTACGTAGGTCGCCGACTTCACATGCATACGTAGATCGCCGACCCCGTGTGCGTGCGTCCGTCCCCGTGTCATAGTGTCGGGCGTAGTTAGGCGAACGCCAGTGACCAGTGCCCCTGGCCCGCCGGCAGTACGGCTTCACGCTGGACCGCACCATGAGCGACGCTGTCAACCCATACCTGGACGGCCACATGACGCGCTGCACGCTCGCGTCGCCCATCAGCAGCCAGGACACGTCTGCCGCCATCATCTACTTTACCTTTGACCTCAAGCAGAAGCGGTCAGTCTGTCTGGCCGTGCAGCTGGTGTTCACTCGGTCGGAGGGGTGCGCGGGTGCTCTGTGCTCTGTTTTAGGTGTACTCACAGGTGTACATGTGCTTTCACTTGCACTTCAAGCACTAGCGGTGTTAGGGGTTGACCCATCGCGCTCATAGCTGTGTGCTATTGACATGGAGCACACACAGCTGTACAGTTAGGCGCAAATGTGACCAGTATTCTACAGCAAGAAGAGTTGATAACTGCAGGATGCGGATACAGTTACAGCCTGTGTGTGCGTGATAACCACAGCTGTCTATATGAATCGCTGACGGCCTTCGCCCCCGCCGCTGACGGCCGCTGCTCCTGCCGCCCCCGCCGCTGACGGCCGCCACCGCTGACGGCCCCCACCGCTGACGGCCCCCACCGCTGACGGCCCCCGCCGCTGACGGCCCCCACCGCTGACGGCCCCCGCCGCTGACGGCCCCCGCCGCTGACGGCCCCCGCCGCTGACGGCCGCCACCGCTGACGGCCCCCGCCGCTGACGGCCGCCACCCCCGCCGCCGCAGGGTGCTGCTCAACTGCAGCCGCAGCGTGGCCGACATCGTGATCGAGCCCGTTTCGTCGCGCTCGTCGGACGAGGAGGCGCGCAGCAAGCGCGACTGGCTGCTGGGCTCACTGGCCGGCTCGGCGCTCTACAAGCAGCGCCACCGCCGGCTGGCCGCCGCCCCCGACCCGGCACCAGGTCAGCGGGGGCGCGCCCGGGACGGGGCGGGACGGGGTGCGCTGTCGAACACGGATGGTGGTGTCACGCGCGGCCGAAGCGCCGGGCGCGTGACGTTCATGTACCTTTGGTTTGGGGTGCCGGCGAGCGCGGCACTCGAACACCTGAACGGCTACGCCTTACCGCGCGTGTTCTCGCCACGTTGTCTTTTTATCTTATTCCCCGCACCGCCTGTGACTGGTGACTTTCCCGGTCAGTCCGTGCCCGGATTTTTCCTTGATAATACCTCGTCCAGACAGTTGTCTTGCAACGTTCAGTAAGGGACGTAGGCTTAGCCAGCGAGTGATCTAACTTCCATCAGCGTGCGGTTGGCCTCGACGTGTTCATTCAATGCGCCTTACCTCGGCTTAGTTTCTTGAAGCGAAAACACGACGTTTTTACTATTCGAAATCGTACCGTGAGGACGTCCGCACGTTGAAAAACCTAGTTTGCACTGACACCCTTTAGTCATATATGGCCGACAAGTTAAGACCCGGCATAAATTCACAGCTTTTTGATTTTTATGCCCATACGCTGCAGCTTACCCACCCACACCGAGTAAAAAATGCATGGATCTGTACTCCCATCTGACGAAGTGATGGCCCTGATCGGTGACCGCACTCTGCCTGGTACTTGAGCTGAGCGTGTCTCGGCGTTCAGTGTCGGAGCCGCACCCGGAGCCGGCCGTGCCGGGCCAGCAGCGGTGCGCAGGCTTCGCCCCCATCCTGCTGCAGAGGAGCGACAACACCACTAGCGGTCTGCCAGTCTTCAGCACGGCGGTAAGCTGACTACCCCCCCCCCCCCCCTCCCCTCAGTTCTCCCGCGGAACATAACTCAGCGTTCCGTACCAGCGCTCCGTGTTGCGTTCTCAGACGTGGGGAGATTTTCGCAGCTTTTCGGCCTGAAGGCATGAGTCAGCTTTCCGTCTGTCGCGTTAGTGTGGAGGTTCATCGCGCTGTGTGATGCACGCTGAGAGAATGTGGCGGCTAAGCCTTCTGGCTGAACAGGTCAACCAATCAGTCATGGTGGCAAGTAAACTAAAAACCTCGCTCACTGCATTTATTTCAGTGGATTGGCAACAGCGTTTCGTTTGTATTGTAAAGTTATCTCATCGATTCCATCTTAATGCGTATATTTCACACCTCATGTGTGTGTTTGTCCAGCGAGCTCTGGTAATCCACCGTGACATCACGAGATGCCCACCGCTTCTCCTTCAGTTCGTGATCCACGTGCTGAACCATGGTGGCGAGGGCCTCTACAACTTGTTCTTCCATAACTGTCCCAACTACCAAGATGACAAGGTGCACGTGAGCATGACGGTAAGTGACGGATAGAACGTTGGCGTATATCTGACGTTTGGATGTCTCGCCCCTTCCGGAGCTGGCCAGGGCCTGATGGGAGCTAGGCCAGGCGGAGGTATGAAGCATTTCTGGTCGTTTACACAAGTCAAGTACGTGACGACTGACAAGGGACACGCTGCGCGCCGCCCGGCATGTGCGGGCGCCGGAAACCCCGCGCATCTCTCACACTTAAGGCTAAATTGTTCCGGCGCAAAACAAAAACTGCCGGTACGAAGGTGTCCATGAAATGCACCAGGGAAATATGGCGCAGCTCAGAGTGTTAAACCAAAACACGTTTCAGCAAGGTCAATCCCTTGTAGTGGAAGGTGTCACTTGAAACGATTGGAACACCGAAACGTTTGTTTTAGCTCAATGTTTCTGAATCTGCAGTTCACTACCCCGGCCCATTTCATGTCAGTCTTTATGCCAAGTGTTTTCTTCTCACGCCAGAATAAGGTTACGCAGCTATTTTATCAACAGCAGTATATCAACAGTAAATGTTCCTGCCACCTCGCGAAACGAAAAAAAATCCGCGGAAAACGTGCTGCCGTACTTTATGCAGCAGCTGGCTCCGGTTGTCCGATAACGCGCCGCTCCTGCCACAACTCTGGCTTAACTTCATAGTTCCGTACCCCCTGACTCCTGGCATCATGTGCATCCTCCCCCCCCCCCCCCCCCCCGCTTAGTTGTGAAATCATCCCAGAGACGTGCTGCGAGCCAAGAACGAAGCAGTGCCCAATTCGGCATCTCATTACCGAACTTATTTCGCACCGTCATATCAGCTTTGTCCAACTCAGCATTGGCAATATATGACGCCGATGTTGTAACGCCACAAGTGAACTGCCATCATAATGCCTGGCAAAGGCCCGGCGAAGCGTTCCTCACGAACCTAAGCTCCGTTGTTTTGGCTTGGACGAGATGACTTCGTATGATAGCATGTGGTGCTGCCCAGGTGGTAGTGGTTGGAGCTGTAAGTGTTGGAGGCTTTCGGCTTCTGCGGACTGATCAGTGCGACGACTGACCGCCAGGTGGAGATGTCGGAGCAGAATATGGACAGCTACCTGTCCGCCGGCGAGATGCCGCTACCGGCGCTCTACTTCATGATGTCTGTCCTCTTCTTCATCTCCTCCTGCTTCTGGCTCTTTATACTCAAGAAGAGCAAGTGAGTCGGGTGGTATTGTCTCTTAACCCGTGAGGACGGCCAGTCCTGGGAGCTCCACTCGCTTGCCACGTCTGTGATGGTCACGTCATGGCATATCCTAAAAACTGCTCCTTGTCAGCCTCATCCCACCACTCTACATCACATGTCATATGACCTGATCTTGGCTACATGTACCACCTCGCTGACTGCGCACGTCGGTCAGCCGTGTACCGTTTGGTTTGCGGCGGTGTCCTGTGACATTGCTGTGATCGTCACTGGTTGTTCAATGTACATTACGCACCTGTGCGACTGGCTGCTTGGCTCTGACCGACCGGCGGGCGTCTAGGCGCGCTGGTCGCCGGTTCGGGACAGGACAGAACCGATCGCCAGCGGGTCACCCGTCCAGGGACCCGGTTGGCCCGGGGCGGCAGGTCCCCGGCGCGCCGCCCGACCTGACCTGACCTGACACCTCTCGCCGCCCGCAGTCGCGCCGACGTTTACAAGACCCACTACGTCATGTCGCTGCTGGGCTACATGAAGGCACTGTCGCTGCTCTTCCACGGCATCAACTACCACGTCATCGAGGTCAACGGCTTTCACATGGAGGCCTGGGCCATCCTGTTCTACATCACGCACCTGTGAGTGCGCCGCAGCGGCCGCCGGTGGGCCCGTCCCGCCGCGCGCCGCTCAGTACCTGGGACACGGTCTCCATCGTCAGAGCTCCGACATGACCCGACCCGTCCTCCCTGCGTCTCTTGAGCCCTGAAGCGGCTGGTTCGTACGGGCTCCGTGCCCGTCGGTCCCGAGCGTGGCATTTTTGAATGCTGCTGCGCGTGATAATCACACCCGGTTAGGTTTCCATCGTCGGTCAGTCCATGCTTGATTGGTGGTTTCATCGGCCAAACGCTGCCGGCATGTGCTGTGACCCGAGCCGCCGGTGTCTGAGCGTGTCTGTGGAGGTCGCCGGTGTCTGAGCGTGTCTGTAGAGGCCGCCGGTGTCTGAGCGTACCTGTTGGGGCCGCCGGTGTCTGAGCGTATCTGTGGAGGCCACCGGTGTCTGAGCGTGTCTTTAGAGGCCGCCGGTGTCTGAGCGTACCTGTCGAGGCCGCCGGTGTCTGAGCGTGTCTGTAGAGGCCGCCGGTGTCTGAGCGTACCTGTCGAGGCCGCCGGTGTCGGAGCATGTCTGTAGAGGCCGCCGGTGTCTGAGCGTACCTGTCGAGGCCGCCGGTGTCTGAGCGTGTCTGTAGAGGCCGCCGGTGTCTGAGCGTGTCTGCAGAGGCCGCCGGTGTCTGAGCGTGTCCGTCGAGGCCGCCGCTGTCTGAACGTGTCTGTAGAGGCCGCCACTGTCTGAGCGTGTCCGTCGAGGCCGCCGCTGTCTGAGCGTGTCTGTAGAGACCGCCGGTGTCTGAGCGTGTACGTCGAGGCCGCCGGTGTCTGAGCGTACCTGTCGGGGCCGCCGGTGTCTGAGCATGTCTGTAGAGGCCGCCGGTGTCTGAGCGTACCTGTCTGTGCCGCCGGTGTCCGAGCGTACCCGTCGAGGCCGTGGGTGCAACAGGGGCTGACTACCCATCGCTCCCGCCTACAGCATGAAGGGCGCGCTGCTGTTTGTCACCATCATCCTGCTGGGCACCGGCTGGACGTTCATCAAGCACGTGCTGGCCGACCGCGACAAGAAGCTTTTTATGATCGTCATTCCCCTCCAGGTGGGCTGACGTACAGGCTGTACAGACTACCGAAACTTTACGGCGCCACTTCAAATGGCGTCTGTCGTCTCTGGTATGGCTGAGAACAAGGCCGAATGAAAACGGTTTAACAGCGATAGCGTTGTTACTGACACGCCTTGTTGGATTTTTACTTTACGTTTTATGTGTTGTTGTTCGTAGTGCAGTTGTACGTTGTGTCCTGCGTCCCTGCTGGGGCGGGGCGCGGCACGTGGTCAGGTTCGCAGGCCGGCTCCGGCCGCGCGGCAGAGGCGCGCCGCCGCCACAGTTCGCACGACCCCGGCTCGTTCGCACGGCCTCGGCTTGCGGCCCCCGCTGTCGGGGAGTCGCCGTTGGGAGAGCAGCGAGCGCAGGTGCACCGTCAGGGGCTGCAGCCCCTGACGGTGCGAGACCAAAATACAGAGAAGATGTGGTGAAACACCTGGCGTCTCATTACAAGCTATTTCGGCAAAACGGACTGGCTTGAGAAAGTGGAGACAGCTACACGTGCGAGGGGTACCGGGCAAGTGACTGTGAGCACAGTGTCGGGTGCGGCCCGAATAGAGGTGCTTGTGACTGTCGGTAGGCCGCTGAACTTCGGGTTCATTCTGGGAATGAACGGCGTGAGGGCGCTTCGGGGCGTGTCCGTCAGTGCGTCGAATGCAGTGCAGTTCGGGGTCGATGCACTGCCGGCTGGGTCGGCGTCTCCGGTGGAGGCAGCGGCGTATGATGCGAGCGCAGCCGCTGCCATGTCACCCGAGCCGGCCGGCCGTGGCCGGGGGCAGAGAGCGGCGAGCAGCAGGCGTGGACAGTCGCCTGGAAGTGGGCGGACGCCAGCGCCAGTGCTGCAGATGGCGTAGAGCGGTGGAGCAGCCTCCCGCGGCCGGTGGAGCGGTGGAGCAGTCTCCCGTGACCGGTGGAACGGTGGAGCAGCCTCCCGCGGCCGGTGGAGCGCTGGAGCAGCCTCCCGCGATCGGTGGGGCGATGGAGTGGTCTTCCGCGGCCGATGTAGCGACGGGTTGGCCTCCCGAGGCCGGTGGAGCAGCGGCCGGACACAGCCAGCCGCTGCGTGGCTGAAAAGGCGGTGTGGCTGCTGCTGATGGTGCCGGTGTGACAGGCGACGGTGACGAGCGAGTGTTGCCGCGTCGGAGCGGACGAGAGCGAAGGCCCGTGCGATTGTGTACTTGTTGATCATTAGGCTCAGGGTGGGATGTTCGTAATGCAGTTGTACGTTGTGTCCTGCGTCCCTGCTGGGGCGGGGCGCGGCACGTGGTCAGATTCGCAGGCCGGCTCCGGCCGCGCGGCAGAGGCGTGCCGCCGCCGCAGTTCGCACGGTCCCGGCTCGTTCGCACGGCCTCAGCTTGCGGCCCCGCTGTCGGGGAGTCGCCGTTGGGAGAGCAGCGAGCGCAGGTGCACCGTCAGGGGCTGCAGCCCCTGACAGTGCGAGACCAAAATACAGAGAAGATGTGGTGAAACACTTGGCGTCTCATTACAGCTGTGCAACATCCTATCAACTGCAAATGCAACCTAGGTATTCAGCCTGTACCATTCCACGCCAGATTTCGTCCTGTTTCGCTTTGATCAAAATTCCATGTCGTTTTACCTGACGTATGTGCGCGTCTGTGCCGCAGCTGCTGGCGAACGTGGCGCAGATCATTTTGGAGGAGAGTGAGGAGGGTGACTCGGTGCACACCACCTGGCGCGAGATGCTCTACCTGCTCGATCTCGTCTGCTGCGGCGCCATCCTCTTCCCTGTCGTGTGGTCAGTCCACGAGCCGACGCTGTGGCGTCCTCATGTAATAGTGATGGGTTTTGTGGCTGGGTTTGTGTAGGTGGCGTTCTGCTGGACTCAGAACAGGATTGGTGGAAAACAACGGCTTCCAGCGAAGGTGGTATGTATCTTTTTCGTTAAAGTCAGGAACGTGCCATGCTCAAAACAGCAGAGGGTTAATTCAAAGCAAGAACAACCTTATGAAACAAGCTAACAAGTGTAGTTCTGTGCACAATGTGTTTAAACAGTTATGCAGTGTCGTGACTAATGCTCGTGCATTCCTTGCACGAACATTTCCAGAGTTCGTAGGCTCCAGCTGCAGGCACCAGCGAGACCGTGACTTGATGATCCCAGCCCCTCCGTTTGGCTGATGCCGGTCCGCGCTGCTCGCTCCAGGTCGATCCGACACCTGCAGGACGCCTCGGAGACGGACGGCAAGGCCGCCATGAATCTCAAGAAGCTCAAGCTCTTCCGCCACTTCTACATCATGATCGTCTGCTATATCTACTTCACGCGTATCGTCGTGTACTTGCTGCAGGTGGGCGGGCTGGGGGCTCAGCCGACACCCAGCTGAGGGGTTACGAGCTGGCGTCATCGATAGACGGCGCTATAAATTAACGGACGGCGCTATAATAAAGTCCCTCTATGTAAGCCTGTGAGGTGCAGTGGTCGCAGAAGTCCGGTGTCTGCAGCGGACGTCGGCCGGTGCGTGACTGAGCTTCTGCCGGCGCCTCGTCAGCAGAGACTAGGTGCGTGACGGAGCTTCTGGCGACTGCCCCGTCAGCGGTGGCACGTGCACTGACGTCTGCCCGGTGTGATTGCAGATAATGGTGCCGTTCCAGTACGAGTGGCTGGACGACATGTTCCGGGAGATGGCCACGTACGTGTTCTTCGCCGTGACTGCGTATAAGTTTCGTCCGGCAGACAGCAACCCCTACTTCCAGGTGAGGGCAGGACGCGACCGTCACGCGCCACGGCGGTCGCCGGCTCCTCGGCGGACGGCCCTGTGCCCCAACGGTGATGTGAAACTCAAACTCGTACAGCCTGCCTTGCGCGGCCACTGACATAGGTGTTAGGTGTAGGCGTCGGTTTGATGGGTCAGGGGCTTGTATTGTTTTGAAGGTCGCACACAAATGTAGATGGCGACATGCCATTTGTGTGTTGGTGAGGCACACAATACTAGGAGTGAATTGACGTTGGTGATTCACGTCACCGCTGTTGATCGTGTGTTCACGTCCGGTTCATCATTTTTGACAAAATTACCAGCGACAAGTGACTGCTGTTAGTGTCGTAGTTGCATCATTTTGATCCGTGTATTTGGCAAGTATCTTTCTCCGTGCTAGTTGTCAAAACGTTGAAAGGAATTGTGCTTGCTAAAACGTATGTGAAGCTTTTTTAAGGGACGAATTATGTGTTTCAAAAGCTACCTTTCAAACCCATCAAATGAAGAGAACAACAGGAAATCGTCAGGCTTGTATCGTTGCTTTATCTTACTGCACTATAATGGTGTGGTTTAAAATACTGCCTTAATGCCGGTGTTACCTGGTCGCTTGGGCCTCCCAAAACGCCCATGCTGAATGTAAAACTTGGCAAAGTTATCTTAGCGTGAGAAGCAAACGGCTGAGAAAATGAAAATTGTATATAAATTAGGAAATGCCCAGACTGTCCACGCATCGGTTTCATTAAGTAATAATTCGTTGGACACAGGGCGTTTAACCCATAACCAAGCGCAAATGACAAGAATGACCAGCGATGGGGGCACCGGGCTGATCATCGACTGCTGTTCGCGGGATTTTAGCTAGAATTTATCATAATATGGATACTTAAATGGTACTTGATAAGTGCATGCCCAGTATGACGCCTGTCAAGCACAAGACGAGCGAAGCGATTGCTGAGATGGGCGTTGTTTAACAGCATAACCTGAGCGAACTAGCACGCTTTGGGCCTTCAATAGAGTCAACATTGGGCACGTTAGTCTATCATGAGGTCTCGTTGGGGAGATGTTTACTGACGTGGCGTTCGTGCGCCAGTTCACTAAGTACAAATTGTGCTGCTCCCACACCGCCACGACCCCGGTTTGCCGATATCTCAGGTCAGCCTTTAGCTGTGGTGCCGAGTTTTGTAACCTGATATTGTTTGTTGTGCGGGAGGAAGATCCCCGTTGTCAAGCATGCATGCGGGGACATTAAAAACATTCTGTGCAACCAGTGATTCATTTATGTTCTGTTTACTGCTGGCAAGGGCATGAAGTTGCAGCCAGTGTTTGGAAAATATGTAGGGTATATCGGTTATATCAGTAATATCGGCCTCTATGTCTCAGTTGGTGAGAGCGCCCACCTTTCGATTCCCCACCCGTCGCGGAGGGGGGGGGGGGGGGTTCCAGTCATTTTAGGCGCTCGCCATTTGCCCTTGACAGATACGACCTGCGGCCACACACAGGTGGCCAGTTGGATACCCTTCGCTCGGGTGGGGGGTAATTTGACCCCCCCCCCCCTGAGATCTCAGGAACTAAGAAAGCTAGATACACCAAATTCACAGGGTGCATTGGCCTGTAAATGAATTCACTTAGGTCAAAGTTTGAGTTTTCTAGGTCATGACCTTCGATCAAATTAAGTCACACAAGTTCAAACTCCAGATTGGTTTACAAAGTGCCCCAGGACCTAGATACCTGTTTTATGCAACAGGTCGCGTGCTTATTTAAGGTCAGTGACCTTGTCTGGCCTTTCAAAGGTCATGGTGACAAAGATCATACAAGACTGCTTCGAGTACTGCATTTGAATAAGCGACAAAGATAACGCAATGCAGTATGTCCCAGAAAAACAAAATGTTGACCTGGGTCATCTCAGTTCGGTTACCTATTCTAACCTTAAATAAAGTCCATGGAAGATTTGAAATGCGGTTTTCGTCATCAACGAATTCGTGATGAGCGCCAGAAATTACCCCATACAGCAAGCCCGAGGGCAACAAGCAGGTTGGTTCGACCTTGGTGTGACCTTCATACCTGACCCTAGGTCAATGTAATTTGTTTATTCTGCTCTTGTGTTGCCTATGGAAGTGTCTCAGAGCTGCGCGGCTTCGTCTTGCGCTCGGTTCTTGCATTAGGTTGAACGATTCCCCAGAAATTGACTGCTGAATCCATGGGCTGACTTTGAACTGCTGTAGGTCAGCGACCTCGCAAATTACTTCTAAATTTTCGTTACCAAACAGTCCGCCATTCAATTGTCTACAGCTCTGCAAAATTTTGCGCGGTTACACCTGGCCGTTCGGAAACGATTCCGGAAAAACCTTCGGGGGTCAAATTGACCCCCATCCGAGCTCGTGTTAAGCCCAGTTGACGCCAGACGGTAGGACGGGCTGTGCCGAGCATTGTGGCCCCTTAAACTTTCATCAGCAAATTTTTCCGTTGACCTGGAAATGGCAGGGCGATCGGATGGGATGGATCAGGCCTCACACAGTAATCACTGCTTGTGAGCCGTGATCCCAGAAGTACATCCATCGAGAAGATTCGGTTTAAATTGATAAAAAAGACATAAAGAGGGGGACGGCCGGACAGGCCGGGCAGGAGACGGCCGGGCAGCAAGGTTCAAAGTTAACTAGTGTTTCTTTCATGAGTTTCTCGTTCTATGATGTAGCGCAAACTGAACTGAAAATGCCGCACTCGCTTAGCTTAGTTATTGTAGAATCGCATTCGGCAGTGATTGTATTAGAAGCGCCCTTTAACCCCGAAGTATCCCTTAAAGGTGCATGGAAGCGGGATGTTTGTCGATAATTTTCGGATTTTTTCGGGCAACGTGTTCAAGACCACCCTTTTTTCTTCACAGGTGCCGCTGTCTGACGACGAACAAGAGATGGATGAGGTGTAAGTAGTTTATGCTAAGTGAACGACGATGGCTGTTGCCTCCGAAAGCCGGGCAAATTTCCATTGTGTTGCAATGTGTGGATATACCCCTTAAGCTTACGTAAGCTGTTAAGTGCATTTGCGAGAAACATTATGCATATAGGTAAGAAAGTAGTAATAGCCATATTCCTCGCAGAAGAACCAGGAGAATGGAGAGTTAGATGCGTTGGTATTTCGGCAACATACTTTTATGGAAGTGAATAGCAGTAGTGATGTTCTATATTCTATATTCACTCACCACTGATATTCACTTCGATAAAGGTATTTTGCCGAAATATTGACGCACCTATCTCTCCATTCTCCTGGTTTTTCTACAAGGAGTAAGACTAAGGTTGGTAGTGATATTCATATTCTATAGTCATTCGTCAATGCTTTTCGTTTCGATAAAAGCATATTGCTGAAATATCAACGCATCTATATCGCCATTCTCCTCTGGTTTTTCTACGAGGAGTAAAACTTTTACTATCGTCTTATGTTTACCCCCTTAAACATATGGGATTTCCCCGTACCATCTTGATGCCTCCGCGGGCGTGCGCCATTTCCGGCCACATTCTTAAAACCGGCCTTGTGACGTGATGTCCGGAATCCCGGCGGACTGGCCAGTCGTGTTTTTGTGCGGTGGGACTGCAGTACGCTCGGCCGCCGGCCAGGTCAGGGTGGATGACCCCGGGCCTGGGCCGGCCGACTGGGCGATGCGGCTCCCGGTCTGAGCCCGGGCGCCTGCGATGTGGCCTGCTGCGAGGCAGCTCCTTCTGCAGAGGTGTCCCCGGCCGCGGCCACAGTACTGCTGCTGTTAGTCTGCTCCCAGCGCAAACAGCTGATGTCTTGTCTGGCTTTCATCCCTGTAGTAAGGCTATGTTTATCACTTGACGCAATCTGGCTTCACATGATTGCTATCCCAATAACCGATGTGACTCGCCCCATATGCGATCCTGGGCCTGTCCTGACGTGATCTAAGTGGTTGGTGCTGACCTGACCTGATCTGACCTGACCTGGCCTGACGACCGCGTCTGCAGCCTGACCGAGTCGGGCGTGACCGAGGGCCTCAGCCGGGTGCGGAACCGCGCCGAGCCGTCCGACGCCGGCGCCGGCGACGAGGACGAGACGCAGACGCTCTCCAAGCGCGAGAGCAGTCACGACTACGACTGAGCCGGCTGGCGGGGCGCTCCATGGGCGGCACGTGGGCTGTGTGCTGGCAGAGGTGCGGCCGCCCGTCGCCGCCGCCGGGCTCGTACGACTGACGCCCGTGTACACGCGACGGCCAGGGCGGCGTTTTAGCGTTGGGATCTCGCGGAAATCGGGTGTGGAGGAGATGGTGGTACTGATGTTAGTCCGTGATTGTGTAAATATTGATGCGGTTGAATCTGACATGTGTGGCAGTGTTTATCAATGCGGCGCAGTGTCTGGCTCTTATATGTGTGCCCATATTTTGCGCTTTCTAAATTGTGGCATTGCTCATTTTGATCTGGCGGACTGTGTGCTCTGTATCAAGGTCATAATTCCTGTTCGCGTCCTGCTGGCGTTAAGTGGCAATACCATGAGGTAAATAAACAAATACACTGCTTCTTTCTTTCTTTTTCCCCTCGAGACGAGCCAGCGCAGCCCCGCAGGGACACCGGCTTCGGTCGGTGTAGGGGACTAGCGCCCCCTCGGGTCCCAGCTCCGGTAACGGGTGGACAGCGCAAGCTGGTTCTCTCAGGGCGTAGCGACCCTGCCGGTACGTGAGCTCCTGCTCCTTGTCCCGCCCGCTCCTTCCACTTTACCCGCACTCCCGCATCCGGCCCTATCACCATTCCTCATCCTCGTTTTATCGGGGTCGCCGTGCCCCCTCGCCCACGTCCCCGGGTTGATCGGATCCTGGTGGCTGAGGGGCGCGTCGTGCGGGTCAGTCACGGCGCGTCCCAACACTCCACTTTGGCCAGAATATCCGGGGGCGCGGGGGGCCCGTGGGGCCCCATACGGGTCTAGCGGCTTGTCGCTCGCGTTGCGGTTGGGTGCTCTTTGCGGGTCTCCGCTTGGGGCGCCTGACCGCGCGCAGCGGCTTAAGGGGTCAAGGGGTGGCGGCGCTGAACCACGGTCAGGACGGGGAGGGGTCTCCCCGGTTACACCTGGCCGTGTGGGAGGCGTCGTTCGCCCCGTATAGCACCGGGGTAGCCCTGGCGGTCACGACCTTCTGAGGGAATGTTGGGCCGTCCCGTAGTTGGGCTCCGAGGTGGGTGGGGAGCCCCGGTGCCGAAACTTCTCTGAACTTCCATGGCATCTCATAATCAAAAAACCACCCGACCCCCGAGAGGGGAAGGACCACGTTCAGAACGGAAAGCAGCGGGAAATCTTCGCCATCTCCCCGAATTTTGGTTTTCCAAAGTGATAAGACAAGGCTCTCGTCTCTCTCGCCGTTTCAGCGAAAGAACGGATGTGACCTATTTGGAAATGTGGTGCGGTGCGACAAATTGCGTGATGGAGGGCTAGAGGTAGAGTTTGTTAGCGGAGTAGAGGCAGATCGTGCGATGGCTGCAGCCGAATTCACGTACTGCGTTCGGGACAAGGATGGCAGACGAGGCGTTTATGTACCTATCCGAGTGACACCACACCTGACAAAAAATGCATCCAGAGGAATAATTAACTGCTTCGACCTGCGTGACGTCAGTGAAGAAGAGATTGCTGACGAGTTGTCTGTGTTCGGCGTCACTACCGCACGGAGAATCTCCACTAGAAAAGGAACTGAGCAACTGCCAACAAATGTCATCGACTTTCAATCGCCCGGATCTTCCTTCTGAAATACGCGTTGGATACGCACGTGTCAAGGTGCGCCTTTTCATCCCAAACCCCATGCGATGCTTCAACTGCCAGCGATTTGGTCATACCAAACAGTACTGCCGCAACAAACCTGCCTGTGGGAAATGCGCTTCCTCCGAGCACACAACGGAATTTTGCGATTCAGAGAGAGCGTGTTGTGTGAATTGTGACAAGACCAGGCCCCGCACACGACCTACGACCGCTACGTGCCCAGCGTACGTGAAGGAAAAAGAAATTACCTCCATTAGGACCATTCGCAATATCTCTTCGCGAGGCCAGAACATTGCACGAGGAGAGCCACCCTCGAATGTCATACGCCGAAAAGGCTAAGATCTCCACCGCACGTCCGACCTCCACTGATCAGATGACCGCTGCTCAGTTTGTATCGCTCTTGAAGTCCTTTGGTCTTTCGGTTGTGTCGACGAACCAGGCGCTGGACTCCAGTCTGGCAGCCCTGCCCCCCCCCCCCTTCCTCGCTGGAGCGGTCGAAGGAGACCGTGCTGCCAACCTCCTCGCCCCCCGCAGGGGTTTCGCCGTCGGTGGCAGGGGACGGCGGTTGGACGGTGGTTGGACGGTGGTTCGGCACGACCGGGGTAACCAGGCGCTGTCGGCTGCCCCCCTGTCTGCCAGCCCGGCGACTAACACAACCTTGGCGAGCGCGAACTCGCGAACGGCAGAGACGCTGGAGCGTCACGAGGCAGACGGGCACGCCCGTGAGGCAAAGCGGGCACGCCCGTGAGGCAAAGCGGGCACGCCTGGCAGACCAGGAACGTGCCAAGGCGGCCAGCCGGCTGTCTGGAGCGGACCAGGTGACCGCTTCAACGGGGAGACCCTCCCGCCGCCCCGAAGGCGTGTGGAGGCTCCCCCAGGCCCCTCCGACCCGCAGAGAGACCCGCCTATGGGTCTTCCGCCACCACCGCCACCTAGGACCACGACGTCGCCGGCGCCGGCCCCGTTTAGGACGGGCCGCCCGGAAAAGCGTGGCCCGCCAGGGCCGGTTTCGCCAACGGATGGCGGTAGTCCCCGAATGCGTCCCAGGATCCGCCCGGTGTCTGTGGGAAACGGTTCTGAAGACAGGACCAACAGCCATCGGCCGGGCTCCAGCGCTGCTGAGTTCTTTTAAAACATCACATTGCTTTTAAAGCCCCCTCATTCAGTCGGTCTTACAGTGGAACTGTAGAGATGTAAGGTCAAGCACCCAGGACTTGCAGGCAAGTTTAAGCGCGCACTGCCCGGTAGCCGTATGTCTCCAAGAGACCAAGTTGGCGCCTGATGCGGCCTTTGGCCTGAAAGGGTACACTACCTTCCGCACTGACATGCCAACGGACACCGTTGCTTACGGTGGCGTTCTGCTGGCTGTACACCAAAGCGTACCTACGCGGCGCCTGGTGTTAAGAACAGACCTGCAAGCTGTCGCAGCATCAGTGAATTTCAACCACCGTACCATAACTGTCTGCTCTCTCTACTTACCACCTGGGGTTTCATTTCCATCTGGAGGACTAAGAGAGTTAGTCCCTCAGCTTCCTCCCCCTGTACTCGTTTTAGGCGATTTTAATGCACATCACACTGTGTGGGGGTGTGCTTCCACGAGCACTCGTGGCAGGCTGTGCGAAGCTTTCGTGCGTGACGAAGGCTTGTGTGTATTAAATACAGGAGCGAGAACCCATTTGACATTGCCATCAGGACGGTCGTCAGTACTAGACCTGAGCATTTGTAGTCCGCAGTTGGTACCACATTTCACCTGGGATGCTTCAGGAGACCCCCCCCCCCCTCGGAAGTGACCATTTCCCGGTCTGGGTTCCGTACCGCGATGGTACTGTTCTTGGTACGCGACCTCAGCGTTGGAACTTCAAGGAGGCGGACTGGGGCGGATTTGGTACCCGCCTAGAGGAAGTATTTTCTAACGATTCCGTCTCTGCGACGCCGACCGCGGAGGAATTTACGTCTCGTGTTCTGGACGTGGCAAGCGAATACATTCCGCGCACCTCCGGATGCCCTCGTCGCATCCCTGTACCTTGGTGGAACGACGAGTGCCGCGACGCTATTCGCGCACGTCGGAGAGCTTTCAGGGCTTTTGACCGGCACACCAATGCATTAAACCTTTTGGGTTTCAGGCAAGCACGCGCGGCCGCACGCCGCACTATTCGAGAGGCGAAACGTGCATCTTGGCGCAGCTATGTCAACTCACTAAATCGCCACACGCCGACATCGCATGTATGGGGCCGTATTAAAAGAATAGCTGGATTGCACCCACCAATCTCACTTCCCGTACTGCGAGTGGGAAATCAAGACATCACTCACCCAAGTGATGTCGCGGAAGCCAGTGGGGAAGCCCTGTCAGAGCGTTGCCGAAATGGCACCTGCGATCCACGGTTTTTGCGACACAGGGCTAGATGTGAAACTTCGCAAGTTAATTTTTACACAGATGACATCCTGACATACAACAAGCATTTCACCATGATGGAGCTTGAAGCGGCCATTCGCTCGCTGCGTAGCGTGGCGGAGGGGCCCGACCTCGTCCACAATGATATGGTACGGCATTTTCCTCCCCGTGTACTACGAGCATTGCTGGCACTTTTCAACTGTATATGGGAGTCAGGTAACTTCCCGCCAACCTGGCGAGAGGCCATAGTAGTGCCTATTTTAAAGCCTGGGAAAGCTGGAACGAACGTCCTTGGTTATCGCCCGATCGCCCTCACATCTTCGCTTTGTAAGCTCATGGAAAGAATGGTAAATGTGCGGCTCTCGTGGACTTTAGAACGTCAAAACTTTCTCACGAATGCTCAGTGCGGATCCCGCAAGAACAGGAGCACGATTGACCACATCTTAACTTTATACCGCAGTGCGAGCCGAACTTAGTAGCAAGCGTCATACCGGCGCCATCTTTTTTAACATAGAAAAAGCTTATGGCACCACATGGAGACATGAAATTTTGATAAAATTACTTAATTGTGGCATCCGCGGTCACATGGGAAAGTTTTTACAAAACTTTCTGACCGACAGATTCTTTCGGGTGCGTGTTGGTTCTCATCACTCCGACATGTATCTGCAGGACAATGGTGTGCCTCAGGGCAGCGTATTAAGTGTCATTCTTTTCGCAGTGATGATTAACGACATGGGGGACACGCTTCCGCATGGGCTCAGCCGTTTTCTGTTTGTAAACGACTTCACTATTTGGTGTAGCTCATCGACCACTCGCACGATGGAGCGACAGCTGCAGCTGGCTGTCACACGTCTGGAGAAGTGGAGTGTGCTCAACGGTTTCCGTTTTTCTGCATCGGAGACAACCTCAGTTCTTTTCTGTCGTCGTCGGCGTCACTGTCCTGAAATGGAAATCAGGCTGTATGGGCAACGCGTCGCCACTGACAACACCGCGAAATTTCTCGGTATACGATTAGACCGACGCCTAACATACCGTGAGCACATAAGAAATCTCCGCGACAAATGTTTAGAATCTCTTAACATCATAAGGTGCGTGGGACTTATATCATACGGTGCTGATAGGACACTCTTACTCCTATATCGTTCCCTGATTCGCTCAAAACTTGACTGCGGCTGTTTTATATATGACGGTTCATCAGACCTGATTAAACGTACTTTGGACACAGTGCATCACGCCGCATCACGTATCGCTACAGGAGCTTTTCGGACATCGCCCATAGATAGTCTTCTGGTGGGGGCTCACGAGCTCCCACTAGCTCTGCGAAGGCGGATGCTGGGACTGCGCTACACGTGCAAGCTGGCGCAGTTCCCAGATCATCCCACCCACA